CAAGCAATACTAAGATAACCTTTTGTGACGTTTTGTGTCATCAAATGTGGCGAAAATTTTGCGAATCTGCGGTGTTGCTCGTGTGGGTTAGGCATAAAAAGTTTCAAATTTCGACCAAGTTTCTTCAGAAAGGCGGATTTTGGTTTTTAAAAATAGATTTTTTGGCTCTACGGGAGGTCGTTGTTTTACTCTAAAAATTGATGCTAGCTGCAGTCGAGAGATAGCACTCGATCTTCTTATCCCTCGATGAGAGATCAAGACTGATGCTAAAAAAATGTTTCATTTTTATTCCTGCTTTCAATTGGCTGCGAGCGATGCATGACCGGGAAGTTTTCGAGCTATAATCAGTAGAAAAACAGCTCTATAAAAATGACCGCACGCTTATTCGATGGAAAGCGATGAATGGAAATTCTCCTGGCATGGAAGTTCACAACATCCTTGTTTGTCCCCATGACATAGAGTCCGAATTAAAAAGAGATGCAGATGTTTGGGTGGAAACTGGATTTGAAAAAAAANAAAAAAAACTTTACTTCAACATGAGGCAATGCACAAAGAGGTGGTCGCGTCGCGGCTCTCCTTTATTTTTTGAAATCTACTACTGGTCAGTTTGCCCACTTTTGCACCTCAACTGTATTCGAGAATCCGCTTCTTTCACTTTTAGCTCCACTTCCGAAAGCTAAGTCATTTGAGAACTCGAAAAGTTTACGCATTGCATTATTACCAAAATTCGATGAAGGAATTATCATCATTATCTTTTCCCTGCGTATAGAGGAAATGGACAGAGTATCTATAAACAGCGTTTTAGTTAACCTTGGAATTGGAATTCCAACTTTGACGCCCAGTTATATCCCTGAAGGTGTTCATGTCCATCTTCAAAGTGAAAACGGAATCATTGGAGTGGTAAGCTTTCCTCACTGATTCTCATAGATTTTGGCCAACAATAAATAGTGTTCTGAGAACCATGTACGAAAGTGTAGACTAATTTAATACTTGCCTCTTCCTTTTTCTCTTTTTTGTGCACCAACAAAGCTCGCAGGAAACAGCGCCTTCCAACGAAAATTCATAGATCTTACTGCCTGCTACCTCACTGTCTTTCAGGGGCCCTATCCTCAGAAAGGTAAAGAAGATCCGGATCTTATCAATGCGGGGAAAGAGACGATTACACTGTTGCCGGGTGCGTCTATATTCGGAAGCGAAGAGTCGTTTGCTATGATTCGAGGGTGAGATCTCATCGGTGATATTTTCTTGACTCCAATAAATTCTGATAAACCCTTACCTCTTTCAGATCTCACATGGATATCACCATTCTTGGCGCATTGCAAGTTTCTCAATTTGGAGACCTCGCTAACTGGATGATACCTGTGAGCCAGAGAACATAT